CCCCCCCCCCCTCCCCCAATCTCTTAACTGAAGGGGCTAATTTTCTTTTTCAGAGCAGTTCCAGAGGAAAGCCCTACATTGAAAAATAATATGAGAATACATGACGAAACTACAGTTTCATCCGTGTATATGTAGTAGTTTGACAATGGCCCTTCACATAAAGATATGAAGTAAATAAAATGAAACAAGGTGGAGTACTGCTCTTATTCTTTGTGCAAACCTATAACACTAGGGTCAATTCTCTTTCAAGATATACCATCTAAACTCTAACTTGAATTCCTTTTCCCCTAACATCTTTAAACCAGTCTCTAAGATACAATATTCTTGGTGAATGCTCGACGGTGCAGCTTGCTAAATCTTCTGGGAAAGCAAAAATGTTCAATTAAAACATATCCTCCCATTATGAAAAATTGAAACTTTACACTGCCATGCATTCAGTACCTACATACAATTTATTCAAAACAAAGCCCTCTTTTTAGTTTTTGTCTAGTATTTTCTTGATATCTCGGACACAATGAACAGTTAATGTAACAAATTAACCGAAAAAACACAGTACAACTACAAACGAACAACTGCAGAGAGAAGAAAAATTGAAACTTACGATTCTGAAGACATTCGTCCACATAATTCAACAGACTCAGCTCCCAAAACTCAATCCTTAGCATCAATTAGACAAATTTCACATCTGCACTAAGGAAAAAAGAACGAAGTTGGAATGAAGAACTTCAGTGAAGATCCACTGATTTGACGAGGAGAGAAGACGAATTTACTGGTTAGGGTTAGGGCAAGCGAAGGAGGGGAAGGGGGAGAAGGAATTAGGGCGGGGAAGCGGGTAAACGACCCGCGGTTGTCGCTGCTGGGATCAGCCCTAATTTAGTATTCTTGGCGGTGGTCGCGAACAGAGAAAGGGGAAAGGAAATCGGAGCCTATATAAAATAAACAAAAGGTTAAAAATCCAATAAAATTTTGTTGCCGGGTAAATTGTTTCTCTGCGCGGCCGCTGACTGCGGGTATTGACTTTGGATCCGACCCGTAACCTTGTCTGGCTCCTTTATTACGAGTCTTGCCGTCGGAACCACAATAGGTTCTGGAATTTTAATCGGGAGTGGATCAATTGGTTTAAACTCAATTAATAAAGTAGTTTAGAGGGTACTATTGTGTAAACAGGTTAATACAAGAACAAAGAAGATTACTAAGAACTCAGGTGACAAGTGTAGGCGGTCAAAAAATTACTACAGATAGTTGATCCTCATAAAGCGGAAACGATGAAAGTTACAATCTGACGACTTTCACGATAACAGACGAGAGTTACAATTTGACGACTCTCATACTTCAAAAATCCAAATGCAAATATTACAAAATGACGATCTTTGCAGAACTAAAAAGGATATTACAATTAACGATCTCTTCAAAGCAAAACATGAGGGTCCACATCCGCATTCCAACTTTAAAATACGAGGGTCTACCCCCGCGTTCTAACTCCAAAACCCATAGATCCACCATCGCGTTCCAACTCCAAAACGCGAGGGTCACCCCCGTATTCTAACTCCAAAACGTGAGGCCCACCCCCGCGTTTCATAGGCTAAACGCGAGGGTCGCTCTAGAGCACGATTCTCGCATTTAACCGTTTCAATTACAATTTGAACGGTTCAAAATCGTTTTCCACTTAATGGGGCGATTAAGCCCTCATTATGAAGCAAATTAAGGGGCCTGTTACATCCCTTAAACCCAACAAATAGCTGATTTTACAGATGAAAAAGGGGCTGAAGTTTTGAGGAGTTGGAATTGGCTCTTGAATTCTATATTGAATTTTAAAGATCAAGAGATCAGCTCTTTTCGGCTAAAAGGAATTAATCTCATTTGTCGAAATTAACTTTTTTTAAGAGTTCCTAACTCGGCCAGAGTTTCAACTTTTTTTTAAAGTTCCTAACTTTGCCAGAGTTCAAAACTTGTTTAACAAGTTCTTCCCGACGTAAAGTCAGAAGCGAAGATCAACGTTCCACGAAGCGAAGTGTTTGGATCGTCAACGGGATACAATACTCAAACTCTCACTCCCACCGTCACCAAGAAGAACTCAATATTAAACAAAGGGAAGAATCTTCGTCGATTCTTCTCTCTTTTGTAAATCGGGAAACCGATAAGAAAATTATAATTTCTTTTTCTAAGTAAGTTAGAGAGAGATTACTTTGAGAGATTGTATTCATTCTTTTCCTAAGTCAGTTAGGAAGATTAATACTAATTTATTTCTTAGTTTTCTTGCAATTTTTCCAGCAAACAAAAGATGACGACTCTGCTGGGGAATAGCTTTTTCACCGATGAAGAAGTGGTGACGCAATCTGACACCAAACTCGTGGGGACTACTGTCAAAACTCTGCCCGTTGAGTTTGACCAGGCCAAATATGAAGAGTTCCTCTCCACCGGATCCCTTAGCCCCAAGGCTATGCGCAAGATCCGCAAAGTCTCCAATGAGACTAAGATTCCTCCTATCATCGACTCACCAAAGGAGCGTCTTTCCTTGGGGTCATACTGTTCATACAACCCCCCTTCTGAAGGAGAAGACTTTAGTTCAGCCAAACTCGCCAATTGAGTTAAGTGCCTTCCACCCGTACCTCAGCAAAAGGTATCAGGTCACAAGAGACCAATTGCTGCAACTAACCTGATCAATATAGATGGTGAAGTCATTGCAAAGGCCTTAACTCATACGAAAATGATCGTTGCTTGCCGAATGAGAAAATCCCTACGACTAGCACAACTTAGAGAAAATCGATCAAGTAACCAACGTGAACTTCACATTTGTAAGTCGAGACGCAACCCTGAGCTTAGCGTTTCTACTAAAGAACATGAGCCTCACGTTCACGTGCCCAAACGCGAACCTCAGCTTCGCGTTGCTCAGTCAAAACGCGTATCTCGCATTCAAAGGGATGTTGTACGTGACCCTCACGTCCCAACTCTCAAGCACAGCCCTCGCGTCTCTGCTCTCAAACGCGACCCTCGCATTCAGTTACCTAAACACGACCCTTATGTTTCAGTGTTAAAACCTGACTCTTGTGTTATTAAACGTGATGTGTCAAGTCGCGTTCAGGATGACCGACATGGACTTCAAATCCATGTCCATCAAGAATCAGTCTCGTCCAGCCAAAGACCGGGGGTTCAAAGAAAAACCTCACAAATTGTGAGTAACTCATCTCGAGTCTCTGCAATAGACTTGAGAGAGTTCCTATTAAGAGACGGAGCTATCCAACAAGTCACTCCCGCCTGCCAATACGAGCGACTTATCTCTATAGTCCTTTCAGAATGCTGATGCTGTGCACCTGTAACTAGGTCATCAGTATTCAATCGACTGACAAACGTCACCTTACTAAACTCGTACAAGTGACAACGTTCCTACATGAAGACGACTTTGGAAGAAGAGTACTTTGGAGTCACTTCTAACATGGTGAGTATAGGAAGATACCAATTCCTAGCTCTGAGGAGTCAGAGACGGATCAGTCCCCTGACTTGAAAGAGATCCTGAGTAAGTCTGATGGAATCTATCAACACACTCGAACTCGAAAGGGAGTCATCCCTCCTGTCAACTACCGGAAGTTGGATAAAGGAATTAAGTCTGATGATGGACACTCAGCCATCACAGAATCTCAATCTTCTAGCTCTTTCGTAGAACACGAGAGCTCTGCTTATATGGCGGGACACCCTGATGATCTTAAGACTTGATGAGCAGCAAGTTATGATCAAGTATCAGCAGTGGTCTATCAATGAACTCCGGATCCTGATGGCTCAAATTATCGCAGACAGGGCCAAATTCCAGAAGACAGATTCACAGCCTCAGCATGAATCTTCCCCAAAAGCAGGATCATCTTCATCAAAGAGGAAGAAAAAGTGTTTGATAATGTTGCTTCTGACCAAGAAGCCCACAACTTGGAATCTTCTTCAGAAGAAGGGAGAGAGACTAAGAACGAGCAAAATCTCTAGTCTGCTAAAATGAAAGAACTGGAAGCCCGCCTCAATGTTATCGCCAACTCCAAGATGAGGGAGTTATTAGGCCCTATTCTGCTGAATGAGATACAACCCCTTATCCTCCAAAATTCAAAGTCCCGACCTTACAAGCTTTTGATGGCACATGGTCACCAAACCGACATATCTATTATTTCAAGTCGCAGACTGAGAATGTGATAGCAAATGATGTCGTACTGACTCAATTGTTCATTGGCACCCTTAAGGGAGTTGCTTTTGAATGGTTAATGAAACTGCTTGCATGTATCCAGAAGTGGGAGATCTAAAGAGACTCTTCCTATCAAGATTCTTTGAAGATGATACAGAAGTCTCTGTCCTTACCCTTCTGGCCACTAAGTAGAAGAAGGGAGAGGTCATCAAAGTCTTCATTGAGAGGTTTCAAAGCGTGACTCTGTGATGTCTGACAGGGATAAAATAGTCTACTCTGATGGAAACCTGTCGACATAACTTACAGACGAAACTCCTAGCCTAAATAGGAGTTACAGAGTACCGCTCCTGAAGATAACTAGTCTCCCGAGGGGAACAGGCTCAAGAAATAGTTGTCAGGGTTGAAGCTGGAGAAGAAAGTAAGCAAAAACAACCTGCGCAAATGGTGCCAAGCCTAATCTTTCCGATCAAAAGGGAAAGATACTATGACTACTAAAGCCAATCCTCAACCATCACATGTCAAGGGTAAAGCGTCGGGTCAGCAAAGAGTACCTAAGAAATACTCCCTCAAAGAGGAGCATGTGGTATCTCTATTCAAGCTACTTCAGAAGAGTGGCAAATTGAAACTCACTGAAGTTAAAAAGCCTGAAGAAGTGGGGAAGGTAGATGATCCAAACTACTACATTTACCATAGGATGTTAGGACATTTGACAAAGAGGTGCTACATTTTCAAGGATATCCTACAGGCTCTGGTTGATGCAAAAGTACTCAAGCTGAAGCCAGAATAGAAAACAGTGACCACCAACATGGTGTTAGTCCAACTCGGGAGTTTTCCACCCGTTCAAGCTCCAATCGGTATGATCCTGATCCCTAATAGGGAGCTACACCTGATAAACACTGACCCACATAGTTAGAAAAATAAAGGGTTGGTACCCTTTGCTACTCCGAAATGAGAAATAATGTGAGTCCATCCCGATCTACTTGATGACCAGCAGTGAACAAGTGTGTTAGGAAAAGCTAGGAGAAAGAATGTCTAGCCTTGGTGTTCGCCGTCTAGAAAATGCGACACTACCTAGTCGGACAATTAATCCATGTCATATCCAAGATAAATCCATTGAGGATGCTTATGACGAGACCGTCTTCATTGAACTGGCGTCTCGCAAAATGGGCCATACTGTTATCGTAGTATGAGATGCGATTCATGCTTCAAAAGGTTGTTAAAGGACGAGCCCTGACAGATTTCTTAGTTAACCATTCGGTACCAGATTCTTCTAAGTTATATGAAGATCTCCCAGATGAGACAGCAGAAGCTTGCATGACCTAACAAATAGAAGCCAAGCAAGTATGAAAATTATTCTTTGATGGTGCATCAAGAGCATGACCTGACGGAAGAATCATACCCGGAGTGGAGTTGTATTTGTATCCCCAAATGGATTCGTGATTCCAAAAGGATCCTCCTTAACCGAGCTACGTACCAACAATGTGACAGAGTATAACGCTTTGTTTTAAGGGATGCAGGTGGCTGAGGAACTCAACATCCGACATCTCGAGGCCTATGATGATTCTCAACTCATTGGGAATCAAGTTCGAGGAGAATATGAAGTGCGCAATGAGGATTTGCTCCTATACCACTTCGTAGCGCTAAAGTTAGCCTAAAAGTTTGAGGGCTTCTTCATCGGATACATTCCGCGAATCTAAAACGCCTATGCAGATGCCTTAGCCTCAGTGGCAACTTCATTAGCATTGCCATCAAAGACAAAAACAAAGATATTCGTCGCAGGTC